GGATACGCATGAAAACCACAATATACATATCATATACACACATTCTGAAAATCAAAGACAAGGAGAAATTTTAAAAGCCAGCAGAGAAAACATGTCCTGGACAAGAAACCCCAATAACATTAATGACTGACCTTTTAGTAGGAACAATGGAATCCATAAAGAAGTGATAAAACATATTTATTAACGTGCTCAAAGAAAATAATAGTAACTAAGGATGTTATACTAATCAATGCTATATTTCAAAAATGAAGGGGGAACAAAGGCATTCCAAGATAAACAAAAACTAAGAATTTGTTGCTAGAAGACTCACCCCATAAGAAATGTAAAGGAAGTTTTTAAGTCAGAAAGTAAGTGACTTTAGACTGTAACTTCAATCCACATGTGAAAACAAAGATCGTTAGTATAGATAAGCATGACGTTAGGGGATGGGAAAAAAAGGGAGTATAAATACATATTTTTCTTTCTTAACTGATTTAAAATCTATTTTATAAAATAATATGCATATATTATTATTATAGAACTATTACATATCAAAATCTACCATATTTTCTAATAACAGGACAAAGGAGTTGGGTGGCAGCAAAATTGAATTGGGCTAAGGAAATTACTCCAGATCAGTGGTTGCCAACCAGTGGTCCACGGACCATTGGTGGTCTGTGAGGTCCAAAAGGTTGGTGACTGCTGGTTTAAGGAAACCTTTGGAGCAGCAGTCACCAACCGGTGGTCCATGGACCACTGGTGGTCCGTGAGGTCCGAAAGGTTGGCTACCGCTGCTCCAGATGATAAGTGAGTTTCAGGAAAACAAATAAAGAGAATAAAAAATGATAAATAATAAAATTAATATAATAACAGCTATAAATATATTCTTGATTTCCTTTCTGCCCTTAGCTTTTTTAAATAATAAACTTACATAAAGTAATAATTATAACAATGTATTAATGTGAATTTAACATGAATACCTGTCATGTGTATAACATTATCATAAAAAGGTAAAAGAAAATAAAGAATATAGGAATAAATGTATATATCTCACTGCAATTAAGTTAGCATAAATCTGAAAGAAATTGTGATAATATGTACATGGTGTGTCATAGAAAAACCATTAAGAAAAGAATAAAAAGTGAGGAAACCATGACAAAAAATTAAATGCTTCATTGGAAAATATCACTTAAAGCAAAGCAAAGCCATAAAGAAGGAATAAAAGAACAAAAAAAAGACAACCAATATATAAAATAAAAAATATAATGGCATACATAAATCCAACTATAACAATAGTAATATTAAATTTGATTGGCAATCTAGGCCTCAGAATAGATAGCAAAATAACATGTATTTATATGTTGCCTAGAGGGGTCGCTTTAGAATCTAAAATGCAAATGGATTGAAAGAAAAAGATGGAAAATATATGTCATGAAAATACAGAAAGCTGGAGTTCCTATGCTAATCTCAGAATAAAATACTTTAAAACAAAACACTTTACTAGAGATAAAGAGGGACATTTTAAAATGATAAACCATCAACCCATGGGGGAGATATTACAATCATGAATATATATTCACTTAATAACAGACTACTAAAATACATAAAGGAAAAACTGACATAAATTAATAAAAAGTATAATATACCAGTACTGGTTGGAGACTTCAGTACCCCATATTATGTAATAGATAGAACAATTAGGCAGAAGATTTACAAGGCCATGGAAAACTTGAACAATTCTGATGAAACTGGAAATCAATAACAGAAGAAAAACTGGAAAATTACAAATATGTAGTGATTAAAAAATTCACTCCTAAAACACTAATAGGGTCAAAGACAAACTACAAGGGAAATGAGAAAATCCTTTGAGATACAAGAAAATGAAAACACAACATACTAAAAAGGATGAAATCCAGTAAAAACAGGGATCAGAGGGAAATTTATAGCTGTTAATGCTTATGTCATATAGGAAGAAATAATCTGAATCAATAACCTAGCTTTATAACTAAGAACTAGAAAAAGAAGCGCAAGTTAAATATAAAGTTAGAATGAAATAATACAAATTAGAATAGAGAATTAAAAACAAAGAGAGAATCAATGAAACGAAAAGCTACTTCTTTAAAAAAAATCAACAAAATTTTTAATCAAAGCCTTTAGCTAGACTGACTAAGACAGAGACAAGACTCAAATTATTAAGAAGAGAAAGTGGAACATTACTGCAGAGCTTAAATAAATCAAAGAAGAATGGTGGCATGAGGGGTTCTCCTTGTTTCTCCTCTTGATGTTACAAAACGTAGAACAGTTATAACACAACAAAGAATTTTCCCTGCTCAACACACAAACATGTCTGAGATATCCTTGCAGTGAAACATCTGAAGGCAGGGGGGTGAATCAAAGTGAACAGTGTAGGAGTGAGATGAGCAGAGATGGGTGCCACAAGCACAGCCTAAAGCTGACCGTGGATCTTGGGAGAGGGGAGGAATCAGGTTGCAGTCTACACTCTTGGCAGCCCTGAGGAGTAGAGAGGAAGAACCAACATTCTTGTCTGAGTGGTCAGCACATATTGTAGCTGAACCCAGTGACTGGAGCAGAGACAGAACACAGAGGTGCAACAGCTATGGTCTAACAGCCACCATTGTCAGGCAGAAAACAAAGCCATGGAGCTTGGCTACCTCACCCATGCAGAGCTTGCTTCCCCTAACCCTATCAGAGCTAGCAGGGGTCTCAGAAGAAGCTGTAGCTGTGAGCATTAGTACAGAGCACACTATCTGTTTCTCTAAGGATTAGAGATGCAGAAGCACTCCTCCCTTGAGTGGCAGGTAAATACCATGCTTAATCCCAGTGACAGCAGCCTTACAGCTGAGGTCTGGCAGCCACCCTTACTGGGAGAAAAAAAAAAGCCACAAATGCAGGAGCCGGCCTCTTACAGCCAACCCCACCTCCACCCAGGGAAGCTGAAACCAGTGGGGATACCTGCGACATCGTGGGCAGCGACTGGTTGCAGAGGACAACACTGGGATTTCGTGGACTCAGAAACCCATATCCCAACACATTCCCCCAAAAGGCTGGTGCCCTAAGACAGATGTGACCTGGTCACAGAGAAGATATCTAATTCCCCATGGAATACAAGACATTTTCCATCACCCTGCATAGATCCCAGAAGCCTAGCAGTGCAAGAAGTAAAAACCTGTGTTTCAGCACCACAAACTGGAAAACAAAACAAAGATGTCTTCTTATCATGCTGCTAAATAAAATGCTAATCATTCTTTTAAAAAAGCAAATTTCATTCCCATCAATGCCTAGACAGATCTAATCCATCAAATATCATTAGTAACCGAGGCACCAAGACAGTTCAGAAAGAAAATGAAAAATCTCCATGAAATAAACAAAGAAATGGAAAAAATGTGATTTAAATGGTAGGAAATTCAAGACAGCAATTCTGAAAAATTTCAGTGAGATAAAAGAAAACATAGATAGGTAGATTAATGAACTCATAAATAAAATCAATGAAAAGAGTATTCTACCAAAGAGACTGAAACTTAAAAATAGAACCAAAAAGAATTCTGGAATTGAAGAACTCAATAAAAGATGAAGACTGAAATATAAATAGCAAGTTTAGGAAATAGAGATGATCAGGAGGAAATAATTAGTGATATCAAATACAGATATCCAAGAATGACACAGATAGAAGAAGAAGGAGATTTGAGAGTAAAAAGAAATAATGAAAAAAGTCTGTAAGATCTGATGTCATCAGAAAGAGCAATATACCAATAATGTGTACACCAGAAAGAAAAAAAGGGTAAAAGAAATGAAGAGTCTATTCAAACAACTAGTAGATAAGAACTTCTCAAACTTATGGAAAGAACTAGGTCCTCAAGTCCAACAGAACACCTAGTTACCTCAACCCAAAGAGGTCCTCTCCAAAGAACTCAGTTTTAAAGCTGTCAAAAATTAATGACAAATAAAAAATTCTCAAAGCAGCCAGGGAAAAGAAGTGACCTATAAAGGAAAACCCTTCAAAATTTCATCCAACTTCTGGAAAAAATTCTAGAAGCCAGAAGAGATTGGAACCAAATATTCAAATATCTGAGAAATTACCAGCCAAGAATAACATATCCAGAAAAATTATCTTTTAAATATGAAGGAAAGATAAAGACATTCCCTGACATACAGAAGCTGGGGGATTTTATCACCAGAAATCCTCCATCACAGAAAATATTTGAGGGAGTTATTCTACCTAAAACAAAGAACAATAAAGACACAACATTGACAGTAAGATCACCAAAAAACTTACAGCATAAAAGGAATAATTTGCAGAAAGTATGTACAAGGGATCTCCCATTAGATTATCAAATGATTTCTCAACAGAAACACATCAGGCCAGAAAAGAATGGACGGACATTTACAAAGTGATGCAAAGCAAGGGACTGAATCCACGAATACTCTATCCAGCAAGGCTATCATTCAAAATTGAAGGGGAAATAAGGAGCTTCACAGATAAAAAAAAGTCTAAGGGAGTTTATCACAACCAAGCCAGCAATGCAAGAAATTTTAAATGGACCGGTGTAAAAAGAAGAAATAAAAAGGGAAGAAGGAAAACAGGCACAAAAAATAAAATTGGCTACAAACAAGTGACTATCAATAATAACTTTAAACGTAATTGGACTAAATGCTCCAATCAAAAGACATCAAGTGGCTGAATGGATAAAATGACATGACCCATAGCAAATGGAAATGAAAGAAAAGCTGGGGTAGCAATACATATATCTGACAAAATAGATCTCAAAGTGAGGGCCGTAACAAGATATAAGGAAGGTCATATCATAATACTAAAGGGATTGATAAAACAAGAGGATATAATCCTGATAAACATATATGCACCCAATGCAGGAGGACCCAAATACATTAAAAAAAAACTCATAGAAGATAACAAGGGAGAGATCGACAAAAATATAATCATAATAGGGGACTTTAATATATCACTGATATCACTGGATAAATTTTCTAGACAAAAAAATCAGCAAAGAAACAGCAATCCTAAATGACTCACTAGATCAGAGTGACTTAATTGACATCTTCAGAATATTTCACCCCAAAGCTACAGAATATACATTCTTCTCCGGTGCACATGGGACATTTTCAAAGATAGACCCCATATTGGGTTACAAGCAGAGTCTCTCTATATTTAAGAAGATTGAAAATATATCAAGCATCTGCTCAGACCACAATGGCATAATATTAGAAATAAACTACAATAAAAACAATAAAAAAATCAAACACTTGGAAGCTGAGAAGCATGCTATTAAACAATGATTGGGTTACTAAAGAGATCAAAGAAGAAAATAAAAACATCCTGGAAATGAATGACAATGAAAACACAACAACCCAAAACCTATGAGACACAATGAAAGCAGTCCTGAGAGGGAAGATTATAGCTCTACAAGCCTACCTCACAAAAACAAGAAAAAATTGTAGTAAATCACCTAACTCTACAACTTACAGAATTGGAAAGAGAGCAATAAGAAAAGCCCAGAGTGAGCAAAAGGAAGGAGATAATAAAGATCAGAGCAGAAATAAATGACATAGAACAAAAAAAATACAAAAGATCAATGAAACCAAGAGCTGGTTCTTTGAAAGGATAAACAACATTGATGAACCTTTAGCCAAGCTCACCAAGAAGCAAAGAGAAAGGACCCAAATACACAAAATCAGAAATGAAAGGGGCAAAATAACAACAAACCCCAAAGAAATACAAAGGATTGTTGAAAAGTACCATGAAGAACTCTATTCCAACAAACTAGACAACCTGGAGGAAATGGACTAATTCCTAAAAAAATACAACCTTCCAAAACTCAATCAGGAAGAATCTAAAAACCTAAACAGGCCAATAACTATGGAAGAAATTGAAGCAGTCATCAAAAAGCTTCCAGCAAACAAAAGCCCAGGACCAGACGGCTTCACAGGGGAGTTT